CTAGATAACAATTTACTCATAACTAGATAACATTATAACGCAACTGGTTATCACTCTTATAAGAGTGATAACCAGTAAAATAGAGTTTTAGATTTATCAGAAATTTTGTCAATGTGTTTTTAATTTATCAGTTTTTTTGAAAAATTATCAGAAAAAATTTCCGATTCTATAAAAATTTTTCGATTATTAATTTTTATTAAAAAAAATATGATTTGTATTTAACCAAACATTATTGTTATATTTATTTATTTAATTCTTCTTTTACAACTTTGATACCAAATTTATAATGTGCTATCAAAATTAAAATCTATCAAATTTACATCATGCAATCCAATTGTTATTAATATATATAATGTATCATTATTAAGCTGATTACGAATATCAGTCTTAATTAAATTTTGTTTAGAAAACCCTCTTTCACAATCTACACTAGAAAATGGTATAGGATAAAATATACTAATCAAAATAAGAATATTAGGATACATATCAGAATAATATTAAAATAATAGTGGAAGGAAATCATTAGTAGAAAGTTTGACATAATTTGCTAGGACTATAGCTTTAAAATTATTCCATTCATTACAAATAGCATTAGCATCAATAATTGGCATTGGATAATTAGACTCTTTAGCTATTCCATAAATATTAATTAACTTTTTTAATTTTTCCTCACTATAGTCAATTAAACTTTCTTTATTCTTTGATATTCTATTGGATTCATTATTTTCATGTGATCTATGTGAAAATCTGTCATTAATTTCACAAATTACAGCTGCTGCAAATTCTATAATTTCTAGTTGTAAATTAATTTCATCCTTAGAGTTAAATAAAATATGATGATCTCAAATAAAAAAATCTTCTGCTAGTGATACTTTTAATAAAATCATTTAGATATGCATTTAACTTTGGATTTTCATAATCATCAACATTTAAATATTCATGTTGTATTTTTTGAATAGTAGAATTAATTATAGGATCAATATCAGAAAACATAATATATTTTCATTGAAACATCTTATTAAGTTCTATTAAATAGCTTAAAATATCGTATAAAAAGTATAAAAAAACCAAAACTTTCTAATTACAGATTTTAGAATATAAATCAAATATTGATTGTTGTTTTTAAAAAGAATTTGTTGTTACTATTTTAAAAAATGTATCCAGTAATGGTTTAATAGATATACATATACTTTTAACTGTTTCATACTAAGATAACTATCTAATCTCAAAGTTATTTTTTATCTTTAAAATTGGGTGATCCAATACTAACTGGAATTGCCTTAAAATATCAACTCTTTTTTTAGAATTACTAAAGAAATTATAAGTTTCTTTAATTAAAGTTCGATATATTTACAAAAAGCTACATGCTTTTAAAAGCCAATGCTAATCTATATATAATGCAATAACTTACAAATAAATAAGGATTTTTATTTATAAGTTTTGTTGTTACACCATTATTTTTACTAAGCATTACACTAGCTCCATCCAATGAAAAAGACATGATTTTTTTTCTAATCCTAAATTAATAAAATAATAAATTAAATTAATAAAAAAATATTATAAACTTTAATAAATTAATGGTAAAATTTTACCTTTTGATTCAAATAAAATAAATATAGCTAGAAAAATAGTTTTAGCATCTTTATCATTTAAATGTAATAATTTTATATACTTGACTTTAATAAAGCCTCTTAAACAATATTTAACATAAAGAATTATATGTGATTCTGTACTAATATCTGTATTTTTATCTATCATAATACCAATGCTTGTAGTTTCATAAAGTTCATTTCACAGTTCTTTTTCAATTGATAAAGATATTGCTGATAATAAATCTTTTGCAGATATAGGATTTTTGTATATTATAGATAAATTAATAGAGTAGAAGATTGTTTTTCATGATAAAGTAAATGATTTTTATTAAGCTTTCTATATGCTTATTTGCGTGATTAACTGCATTTGAATAGCTTTAAGTATTGAAAGTCTAGCCTAAAGATGGTGCAGCAATTAATTTCAATTAAATCAAATATATTAAAAAATATTACTAATTAAAATTAACTAATATTCCATTTTTCTGTCAATAATAGTCATAGTCAGTCAGTATATCTGGTCTTATCTAATCGACATGATTGGTTATGAATGTCAGTTCATTTTAACCACTCAAAACAACAGGTGATTTACATCTTAAGAAATCGCGAGGCGCGGTATTATGTATTCCCTTATGAAGACAGTAGACATGTGTAAATTATATATATATTCTTAAAAAAGCGCGCTTTAGTTTTTTCCTCTCATTCAAATATGAAAATACTTTCAGAACAAGAAAAACAAGGTAGTTATTAAAAATGTATATAATATATACAAAGTTTTTCTTGAATATTACTAATTCTAATTTCTAACATTTTCCAAGAACATTACAATGCGACAATTAAAGGTGGTATTAAAGGAGCAACAATTGGTCTTGGAGTGACATTAGGTTTATCTTTAATCGCTCAACGATATTTTCCAACTTTTAGAAATTCAACTTTACCTCTAAAAGCTTTTTTAGTTTCTTCTGGAACTACAGCTGGATGTATCATTTTAGCTGAACAAGCTGGTTTAAAATATGAAAGAAATAAATATGGTCATTACGAGTATCAAAGACCAATTCCTTTAAAAGATGAAACTTCATTACAAAAAACTAGGAATTTTGTTTCAGAAAATAGATATAGTGTTCTTAGTTCTGCTTGGGCTTTAAGTATAATTGGTAGTTTAGCTTATACCCATAAAAACAGGTAATCATAAAATAAAGCGTGATCAAATATTTTAATAGGGGTATTTCATGATAACTTTTTTTTTTGTAGTTATCTATCACTTTCACAAAAAGTCGTACAAGCTCGTATGTACGCTCAAGCTTTAACAATTTTACTCATACTTGGCGGTGCCGGGATCTCCATGACTGATAAAAGAAAGCCAAGAGGTCCCGTAGGAGATGATCATTGGAAAGATTTAGTAGATGCTGAAGAAAGAAAAATTAACAAAATCCCCTAATTTTTTTTTTTTCAATGTATTTAATTATAAAACTTAAAAACTAAGCAACATTTTAATAATTATAATGAAAAAACAAATGAAAAATAAATTATATATAATAATAGCATCCAAAACAACTGAAATTTATCCAAATAATAAACTAGCAGCTATTTCAACATTACCACCCGCTGCATCTAATAATTTAATAGCTTCATCTCTCGTAATACCTCCCATTGAAATTAAATTTTGAATATGTTCGTCTGGGTATTGTGATTGTTGCTGAGATACTATTCAATAAATAAAGTAAAATTTAAAAAATTTCATTTAAGATCTCTTTATTGAGTAAATATTAAAATTACCTGGGGGAGAAGAATTTGAGGAAGGTGGATTGACAATGGTACTAGAAGAGATTGATGGTGATTTCGTCTTTGATGTACTAGAACTATCTG